GAATAAAATAAATCAAAATGTTTGTCTGAGACATTTGAACTCATAATGCAAAGTTCAAAGAACCTTCAAAATTAAATATTGAAATCAGTTCTCAAGAATGTCATGGTTTTCTCATATAGTCATTAAAACCTTATTTCAAGTATGATTTTTGTAAGAAACATTCATGATTAGGAGCCTATATTTCAGGCTAGAGAGATGGCTCAATGTTTAAAAACACTGCTCTTTTAAAGGACCCAAATTTGGTTCCCAGCATCCCTGCAGAGAGGCTCACAGTCACCTGCTACTACAGTTCCAGAGGCTCCAACAGCTTCTTCCAGCCTCCACAGGCACCTACACACATGTCCACTTACATGAATACACACACATATGTAGAAATAAGTAATAAAATGAATTTTTAGGGCTGGCGAGATGTCTCAAAGGTTAAGAGCACTGACTGCTCTTCCAGAGGTCCTGAGTTCAATTTACAGCAACCACATGGTGGCTCACAACCATCTGTAATAAGATCTGGTCCCCCTTCTGGTGTGCAGATATACATGGAAGCAGAATGTTGTATATATAATAAATAAATAAAATCTTTAAAAAAATTAACCCATAAAAATGAATTTTTAAATTATTTTTAAAGAATCCATATTCTCTTCAAGAGAATAACATAAATGAGATCTTATATTTATGGAACTTCATATGTTAAACATTAAAATTAGGTATTGATATATACTATAATTTAACTTACACTATTTCATTTGATATCAGTGACCATTTGGGGTAATTTTCTTTTCTTTTCTTGTTCTTTGTTTTTTTTTCTAGACAGGGTTTCTCTTTGCAGCCCTGGATGTCCTCAACTTGTTCTGTAGACCAGGCTGACCTCGAACTCACAGATTCGCCTGCTTCTATCTCCCAAGTGCTGGAATTAAAGGTGAGGATCACCACCACCCAGCAGAGTGAGATTCTTATTATGCTTGTTTCATAAACTTAGAATGGCATGGCAGATATAAGTTGACAATAATTTATTCTCAATACCTACTACAATTTGTTACATACATGGCTTCAAACATAACTATAGTGTGCTCAAATTTGAATTCTGTTTTGTTTTTTTTTTCATTTGCTTGCTTATTTATTTATTTTGTGGGGAGGGGGATGTTCAGAGCACATATATACATGAAGGTCATAGGACAGACAACTTCATAGAGTCAATTCTTTCCTTCCATCATGTGAATCTCAGGGATCAGACTAATGTCATTGAACATGAAGATTAGTGTCCCTACCAACTGAGCCATCTCGCCAGCCTCAAACATTGTCAATTTTGGTATATGCGTATTAACTTCAATCCGAATGCTAGAAAGAGAAACTAATGAAAATAATAAATTTTTGTATATGCTATTTTGTGTTCAGCGACTTTTGTACACCGAGGGCAACTTGTTGCTATTTGTGTTTTGCTTACTGCTTAACTTTATTAAACTTGAATAGCTCATAAACTAGATGTTTGAACTATTTTAAACCACTTTTTCTTGGCCATGTAAGCATTGGTTATCAATTTGATGAACTGAATATCATAAAAGCTATAAACTGTAATTGCAAATTTAATGTGGCTTTTTGGAAACAAGTTAAATCAATTGGGTAGCATATTAAGTCTACACAAATACAACAATTAAAAATACATCATATACTTCCTCTTAAGCCTATTATAAGGTACAAAGACAGTGAGGTTAATTGACAGTGAGGTTAATTTACTGCTCTCTATTCCTGCCCTTGTACTTTTCCTCCTTCTTTTAATGTTATACTTGTTTTATTTTGATGTCTTTTCAGGATTTTACTACTTTTGAATTGCATTAACTTTACCCAACTACCTAGAAAACACATCTCAAACTTGCCAAGGTAAAAGAATAAGACTGATTTTACGGGTTCATAAATATTGAACTGTGTGTGGTGGGGTGGGAACCTTTTAATAACAGCATTTCATTTGCTATCTCTTAGAGCTGCTTTTTTGTTATTTGTTTTTATCAAAACTGAAGCATTCTTTCATTTATGCATGTTTTGTAATCGTCATTATCCTGACCTCTTACCATGTACCTAGTCTTTTAGCATTATTCAGATTTATCATTCATTATTTGCATTTCCTTATCACTTGAATAAATTTGTAGATAAGGGATTGGATCTTCTTTATTATTCTCTTCTTTAAAATATATTTTCGTCTATTGGATTTTTCTAGCTGATTAATATGGGTACCCATCAGTGTTTCTCATTCTTAGAAGTTCTTAGTTATGTGTGAATTAGAAACAAGAGTCTCTCTCTACAAGTGTGTGGTTTCTGATAAATAAATGACTCTTCTGCATGAATCAGAAAGAGGAAGCTCCTGCAGAATGACACAGCTCCAGATCTTGGGCATCTGGTTTTGAAAACAAAGATTGGACAGATTTACACATTCTATTCTTGGGCACCCTTGAACTTTACACAATTTATATATTCATACATAGTGACCATTGATATGGTGCTTGTTTTTTCTAAAACAATTTATGATTAACTCATTGCTTTTTCTATGTTCTTTCCTGCTTGGCTACTGACAGAAACAAGTATATATCTATGCTTGCATATGCTTAAAATAAATATTCTTGCATTGCTATATAAAAATAACAAATCTTAAATAACATGAAGTATTTGTTCTTTTACTAACTAAAGATAAAATTTTGTTATGGAAGCTCCTTGAAGGTGGTTTTCTATTCTTTTAATACCTCTGATATTGAAACAATTCAGGAGCCTTGTAACAGCGAAAGGATTTCTGGATTTTTTTTTCATGACCTAAAACATCTGCTATCTCCTTTACCAGTCCTTTGGGTGAGAAGCAGTTTCAGTGCTTGGAAAGGGGTGGCTTGGAAAATGAAAGGAGCTGAGTGTGGTGGCTCACACCTTTGATCCCAGCAGAGACAGGGTAATGAGATATTGCACACAAGCTGCCAAGCCTGGTGACCTGAGTTCGAGGGGAAAGAGAGAACTAACTCCTGCAAATTGTCCTCTGGCCTCCATTTCTATGCTCTTGCATGTAAACATGTGTGCTCTCTCTCTCTCTGTCTCTCTGTGTGTGTGTGTCTCTCTCTCTCAATCTGTCTCTCTCTTTCTCTCTCTCTCTCTCTCTCTCTCTGTGTGTGTGTGTGTGTGTCTGTCTGTCTGTCTGTCTGTCTCTGACTCTCTCTGTGTGTGTCTCTCTCTCACACACACAATAAATAAAATTTAAAAGATGAGTAGGCATTAGCTAGACCAAGGTACTTGGGGGTGTAGGACATTCTACACAGAAGTTCTTGATCAAAGGGACACAGGAAAGAGATGTGGTGAAAATCCTAGCAGGTTAGTGTTTCTGACACATGAATTATGAAGCAATGATGCTAAAATGATAACTATGTTGTAGGATACAGAAACAATAGAGATTAATATAGTGAGTAAAGGCACATGTTCTGCATAGCTTTGAAAGCCAGCTTCACCATTATCAAGCTGTGTGATTTACTCTTAGAAGTTTTTACTGAGTAAGGGGAGAAATATTGCTTATTTCATAGAGTATATTTTGGCATAGAGTTAAATCATGTAACATACAGCCTTCAATAAATATTGACAGCTCATACTATCATCATTATTAATTCTTTTTTTTATGTATACAACATTCTGCTTCCATGTTTATCTGCACACCAGAAGAGGGCACCAGATCCCATAATAGATGGTTGTGAGCCACCATGGCTGGGAATTGAACTCAGGACCTCTGGAAGAGCAGTCAGTGCTCTTACCTCTGAGTCATCTCTCCAGCTCCCATTATTAATTCTTATATCAGTGCAATAGGAAAGTCATTCTAAATTCTTTTTTAAAGATTTTATTTATTTATTTATTTATTTATTTATTTATTATGTATACAGCATTCTGCCTCCATGTATATCTGCACACCAGAAGAGGGTACCAGATCTCATAACGGATGGTTGTGAGCCACCATGGCTGGGAATTGAACTCAGGACCTCTGGAAGAGGAGCCGGTGCTCTTAACCTCTGAGCCATTTCTCCAGCCCCCTTAGATTCTTGTATGAACAATATTTTCTCAGTAACTAGTGCCAGAAAATAGGAAAGCATAGAGAATTAGTGCCCTTTAGTAGTTGCCATGGTCATTTATTAGAACCTTTGTGATATAGTCCTATATTGCAGTTTTAGTGGAATCATATGCTTTATAGATTTTTTGAGACTGGCTAAATAGCACCTTCCTGCTTTTTCTTCTTGAAAATTTCCTTCACATTAATCTACATGAAAGGTAAGTTCTCACATGATGTAGCAAACCTTTGATGGTGCAGTGTTTATAAAGTATAGCTTAGAAGCCTAGCCTAGGAAGACAAGCTGGAGAAGTAGAATTCTCAGAAGAAGACTGAAAATAGCATGAGTGTGTGTCTAGCAGACAGTCATCTCATAGGTACACTTATATTCTACAACTCAGTTTTGTGCCTACTTTATATAATACATTGAATGAGTTCAGCAGGCCATAGTATTGTGGAGGGCTAAGAAAAGGCTATAGATCCAGCTGTCTTATATTTATTTAGGTATACAGTTCCAAATATTCTGTAAATGTTAGTTCCCATATCTGTGACATAAGGTTAATGACATGCATCCTGTTATCTTACAGAGCTATCAAAACACCTTTTGTGATCAACAGTGAGAAAACACTTGGAAAAATTGGTTAGCAATTTTTCCTACTAAAATGATCTTCTGGGTTACTGTTTTGAGCTGTGTTCCAGAAAACTGAGGCTTCTCTGAGACAGACTTCTGATCTGTGGAAGGAGTGTCCTTGTTTAGGCACTTCCAGCAGCCCTAAGGATAGATTGCACTACAGCTGAGACATCTTGGATTAAATACTGCCCTAGCAAAAAAGAAAAGAAAAGAAAGAGAAAAAAAGAAAGAAAGAAAAAGAAAAAAAGCTTTACAAAGTGCCAGAGAGACTTTTATCAGTTTGGAAGTTTTTCTTCGTCTGTCTCTCTAGTAAAGATGGATGTAAAGCTAAAAGATCGGGACTTCTGGTACAGTCTCCATGGTCAAGTCCCCGGGATGCTGGAATGGGACATGGGGAATGAATTTTTCCTGCCTTGCACCACAGATCAGCGCCCTTTCGCAGAGCAGAGTCTCGCAAAATACAAAATCCAGCTACTAAAGCCACCAGCACTGCCTCAGGAGAGGAAAGCCAATACTGATGAAGATGACCCTCTCACTGAACCCAGCTTGTGGATGTGGGTGAATCCCAACATTGTGTGCCCCATCAACAGCAACGAGGCTCCAAATCCCAGTCACAAAGTTCAGCCAAGTGTTCCAGTCCCAAAGACTGATGAGTCTGCCTTCTTAGGGGCTCAGAGAGTGATGCAATCCCTGTCTGTTCTCCACACTGAGCATTGTCAGCCACAAAAGCTGTCCGTTTCCTCCAGTGACCCTGATTTCATAAATGAGGAGATTGAGGAACAGGAATGCACATCTTCTAACAGATACCCCAAGAAGCATACACTGCACCATGGCCCACACCAGGACAGGGAGTCCTGGCCACGCCCTCCTCTCAACTACAGCCATCTAGTTGCTCTGGCATTAAAAAGCAGCCCTTCCTGTGGCCTCAATGTGCAACAGATCTACAATTTTACTCGACAACATTTCCCCTATTTCCGGACAGCACCAGAAGGCTGGAAAAACACCATTCGCCACAATCTCTGCTCCCTGACCTGCTTTGAAAAGGTGCCAGTTGACATGGAGGAAGAGCAGGATGACAAACCTCGCTCTTTCATTTGGAAGCTCACTGATGAGGGACACCGCTTCTTTCAGGAGGACACCCGTGTCTTGGCCTGTGCTCGAAGGGAGAGCATCAAGCAGTGTATGCGCCAACCAGAGCTGATAGACCTCCTCTTTCATCTTTAATGTTTCCTTGTGTGTGTGTGTGTGTGTGTGTGTGTGTGTGTGTGGTATGTGGAAGTATGCGTGTGCATGCTTATGTGTGTGGAGGCTCACACATAAGGTTGACATCAAGAATTTTCCTCCATTGCTCTTCCACCTTATTCTTCGAGGCAGGGTCTTTCAGTCAAACCCAGAGCTTATAGATACTGTTAGTCTTACTAGGCAGCTTGCTAGGGTCCCGTCTCTGCTTTCTAAGGCTGAGATTGTAGGCAGCTCCTCATGCCCACTCAGTTTGGCTCTGGGGATCTGAACACAGGTCCTCTTGCTTACATGGCAAGCACTTTTAACTGCTGAGTCATATCCACAGCCTCCTCTTTCATTTTTGAAGTCCAATTGCTCACTTTCTGGAACACTGCCCTGCTTACTGTACCGGACTAACATTTACTCATTTGTAAACCTACTCTGTTTGATTAGTGCCAAGTCCGTCTCTAGCTACTGTTAAGTAGTCAGAGGTGACTGCAGACAAAGCAGAAATGAAATCCAGATGTAGAATGGTGGAAGGTTCCACGACAGCTGCAATTGCTCTACGCTTTGAGCAGAGAGAGAAAGTCTTTGGAACATAGCAGGCACGCTAAGGATAGAAGAGCATGTTATGTTTATTGGAGTACACTGTGAAATATAAAAGACGAATACAAAATAATCCCAGGCTATGAGAACCTTGGCTGCCATGTGAATATATGTATGCATAAAGAGAACTAGACTTGGTGTTTGAAGTGTAGAGACTTAAATATCCCCTTCTACCATTCATCAGTTGTATTTTCTTCGTTTGGAGTGACCTATTTTATCCATCAGAGCTTCACTTTTCTCTTTCTAGTCCTAGAGTTAACAGCTTTGTTCTCTTGCTATCCAGCTCCGGTAGTGACAAATGCAGGCAGCTGTTGTTTGTTTGAATATTCAAAGTCCTTAAATTGCTTCTGTATTAACCTCAGCTTTTTGATGACAATGTATGGGTGCTCATTTGTGTTTTTCATCAAGCTTTATTTGAGGAAATGTAAGGTTCATTTTAGGTGTTAAAGATAAAAAGCAAAAACATATTTGTGAGGCCTAGATAATTTATGTGTAATTAAATAGAGGTGCGAAGTTGCCATGGAAACAGGGAGACATCCTTCCTGGAAACAGGAAAGCATTAAAAATGAAGTGCCTTTTGAGTTAGTTTTGAAGAATAAATGGAAATTTGCTGAGCACATATACTGAAGAAGAAAAATATTTTAGGGGCAGCAGTGTGAATAGTGTTAACCAGGTGTTTGGCGAATTCTAAGAACACAGATACACTAGAGTCTGGAGCCACTGTATTAAAAGTAACCAAACAGCTTATAAATTGTACTTTGGTGTTTAAGGCTCTACAAAACTAAGAGTATAATTTGTACATTGTTAAAAAGCACAAACAAAATACCAACATAATAGTTCAGTCTTTAGCTTTCTAATTTTAAAATTCATTTTTGTAGGTATTAAGTTAATGAAACTTAGTTGTTTAGACTTTTGTGTTAATGAATTTTTAAATATATGCCAATGTTTAGAAAATAGCTTTTAAATATGCATTTAGCTGTCAAGTATTCGATGAGAGTATAAAATGTCTGTACCATACAAAAGCAGCTAATTTAACATGACTACAAGAAGGGAGACTTTACATTTTAATGACTTACTGTGGTAGACACAAAACTGTTTAGGTTTCATTGCAAAGGTTGCATAATCAAACAGAATTATTTCTGAAGGTAATTGTATCATAGTTATTTTGAAAATGTTGACAGAACAGTCTGGAATTAATAAAAGTTTTCTAACTAAAGGAGTTGATGTTTGTTTCTTGGTTTTCACAAAATTAATACTTCCAAGTGTAAGATGCTGGGCTAAAGCTCAGAAGCCTTTTCCATGTAAGTGTGATCCTACTGTAGCTATTCTGTACTTTTCACAAATGACATTCACTTAGGTCTCTAAAACTGTCTGGTCTCCTGAAATTAAATGAGTTTAGTTCTCAAATATGACACACCAGTTGAAACCTTGACAATATAACAACTGTCCAATTATATCCAGGTAACAATGAGGATAGACTCTTGTTACCTCTTCTTATGCCAATAGTTACCTGTCCATTTGCATAATTATGTTCAGTAAGCATTTTCAAATTCTGGAGGAGTGAGACATAGAAACAAAAGAATTTATCTGTTTTAACTTTGCAAACCAAGATGGATGAATTAAAGTACTCAGTTGACTTCTCCCTCCATAAAGAGAACAAAGATCTGAATGACTATGACAAAAGTCAACAAGAGGATGGTATAACTTCTAATATTCATAGACCTAAGATCATAGAAAGAGAAACAACACATTCTAGTATATGCTACTCAAGCTTCACAGCTGCAGGAGGTAGATTCTTCCCTTTGCAGACAAGAGGTGGGCTCCCAGTAAACTCTCCCCAGTGTGGATGCTGGTGATTCAGGCTAGTATAAAGTGTCACAGTCCACTTCTATAAATAATGTGAAAAATACACAGTAACCTTGCTTTGGGAAAGGAGCTTACATCATCTCCCAGTGAGCCACCAGGGTGCTGGAGCCAGAAGTTATTTCAACAAGGGGCTATTGTGTGAACTGGCTATTTAATGGGTCAGAAATTCCTGCATACTCCCCCTCTGTGGGAACCCATAGAACCTATTGCACTGGCTAGGGGATTAGCTGCCTAAACCCAATCTGTCAATTAGAGTGCCTCTGAACCAAGCCCATTTAGTGCCCTGCATTGTAGGATATGTGTGATGTAACACAGCGGGGATTGCAAATACCACCTTCCTAAACCAGGAGATCAGGTTTGCCTTGTAACACCAGGGGGATGGCCAGCTGCGTGTAGACCCATGCAATGGCCAGGCTGTTTTTTTGTTTTTTTTGTAACTACTTGAGAAGGAGCATTTGGGTGGTTTTGTCTTGTTAATTTGAGCACTTTCTTCTTAAAGTAGGCATCTTTTCTTTTTGGGTGGGGGAAGGGGTTCGTGACAGAGTTTCTCAGTGTAGCCTTGGCTGTCCTGGAACTCTGTAGACCAGGCTGGCATTGAACTCACAGAGATCTGCCTGTCCAGTGGCACTTTTCCTATAAACATCATTTTGGTTTTTCCTGTAATTTCCTCTTTGTTCACCGGATCATGAGTACATTGTTTAATATGCACACATTTATGGATTTTTACAACTTTCCTTCTGCTATTTATTTCTGGTATCATATCATAGTGGTCAGAAAAGAAACAATACAATACAATCTTCTTTAAATTTCTTATATCTTTCATTTTTAAGATTTATTCGTTTATTACATGTATTCTTGCAGGCCAGAAGAGAGCACCAAATCTCATTATAGATAGATGTGAGCTACCATGTGGATGCTGGGATTGAACTTGGAGCCTCTGGAGCAGCCAGTGCTCTTAACCTCTGAGCCATCTCTCCAGCCCCTAAATTTCTTATATCTTGTGACATAATATAACTCTACCCTGGAGCAATTTTCCAAATGGTTGAGAAAATAACTATTGTACTATTTTATGGAATACTCTAGATATGTCTATCAAATCCATTTGGTAGAAAGTATATTTCAAGTCTTACTTATTTTGGATGATCTGTTTATAAAGTGTGATATTGAATTCCATGTTAATGTACTACAGTCTGTCTTTTGCCTCAGAGTCATTAATATTTGTTTCATCTATCTGAGTAATGTGTTGGATACATGTGAACTTAAAACTGTTACATATTCTTGAGGAGTTGATGCCTCTGTTATGATATAATGACCATTACATCTCCAACTTCAAGTCTAGTTTACCAGATACTAGTATAGCCACTATTCTGTTTGCATACCAAAGTTAGATAGGAAATTGATAAGTCTTCTATTCTTCAAACATTTGTGTTAGTTGCTTTTCTATCACTTTGTTAAAATACAATGAGCAAGACAACTTAAAGTAGGCATCTTTCCTTTTTGGGTGGGGGAAGGGAACTCTTGATTTGGTTTACTGTTTCAGAGGGATAAGACTCCATTATAGCAGGAAAGCATGACAGCAAACAGCAGGTTTGGTGACTGGAGCAGGATGCTGAGAGCTCACATCTTGAATCACAAGCATGAGGTAGATAGCAACTTGAAATGATGCAGGTTTTTAAACTCTCAAAAGCTGCTTTTCTTCTTCCAACAAGGCCCCAGCTCCTAAGCTTTCCCAAACAATTGGGAATCACCAATTGGGGAACAAATGCATGAACCTATGGGGGACAATGTTATTCAAACCATCACATTATTTCACTTAAAAGCAATCCCTTTAGCTCATTTTCCCACTTGTTAAATTCCTTGGCTGTTTTACAAAACCAAATCTATGAAGTATTTATATTGTTCCTTATCCACACCAGCATCCGCTGAATATATGAAGATGAGTGTTTAGAACTTACTGGACTCCTTTTCCTTGTTCCCTACTCAGCCTTCAAAAGCCCTGAAAGAAGGTTCAGAGATCACACCCAGTTCTGTCTTAAAAGCATCTCCACTAAGGTTGTTTATTACATCTAGAGCAAAAACCACACCCTACACTCCATTTATGAAGGCCATAATGTCTTCCTATTTCCAACCTTCATTGTTCTTTCAATGCTGAACAGAAATCCTTGTGCCATGTTTCTTAATGCTATCCATTCACTTATTCCTCAAATAGCTAACATCTTATCCAATTTCTGTAAGTCTCATCTGCATTCATTTTTCAGAAAATGACCTTGCTTCTACAATACTGTTAATGGACTACAAAAGGAGGGAGGTTCCTCATATACATGACCTATCACCAATTTCTACAGTTTGATTGCTGTCCGTGCTTATTGTCTCCTTTAATACTTGCCTTCATAGTTTTTTCTTCTATCTTCTATCTATAAAGAATTTTCCTAGCTGTGCTCTGGTTTCCTCTCCTTTGCCCCTCCAGAAATTTTGTGACAATCATTTCCTCTTTTTTCCATTGGCTTTACTCCATAATGATTAAGCATTCT